GCCATAGAAAACACTCGCCCGCAATTATTAATTTGGGAGCAATACACCCAATAAGCTTAACAAATATTACAAAAAAGGATATTTTCATGTTTACTAAGCGGACAAATTTTGATGTTAATAAATTGATATAGGTTACGCATGATCCAACAGCCTCCATATAAAAAAAAATTCTAAAAAAAATTGGTGAACTTTTCGCCGCATCTGCCGGTTTGGCGGTGAGCTTTTCTCCGGTGAGCTTATCTCCAGTGAGCTTTTCTCCGGTGAGCTTTTCTCCGGGATTCCATTTTATATCCAAGCATCGTGGGAAGCAACCGTCTTTCTTGCAGAAGACCCGAGGTGCATGCTCTGTTGTGCCTCTCCCCTTGGCAAAATATTCTAAGAATTGCTCACCAAAAGTTTCAATATAAAATATTGTAATTATTTTGAAACCACTGTGTCAATGCGAAAGGGTTGCGGTGGATTTTCATTTCAGTGTAGGCAGCCCTACAAGGCAGAAAGCCTCCAACTCGCAATGGCCGAAAAAGAATATAATGTTAAAAATTTGTGTAGGACCATGTTGATAAAAGTAAGCGTTGACAGGAAACAATAACCCGAAAAAGTTTTACTGTTTCTTATTTCCATTTGATGCATTGAGTCCTGCTACAGTGAAAGATATATCACTGGGAGTGAAAATTAAGTGACCTTAATTGCCGCAATACAATTAGCAGGTGTATAAACAGCACAGGATATTAAATGTCTTAACAGAGCCTGGGTTCCTGGTGCGTTGTTAAATAATTTCCTCTACCCCCCCCCCCCCCCCCCCCCCCCCCCTGCGCGTCCCGCATTTCGCTAGCAGGAAGGTGGTCACCCCCCAAGCAGCACACTTGCTTGGGCTAGCTGGGGCCAGGATGGGGCCTTGGCCGTAGTAGACTGGACCGGGACCGCCCAGGGAATTCGGTGAACTGCCAGCCTGGCGTCTCACCGTATTTCCCGGGCACCGGTATGCCACGGAACTGCCAGGGAAGGGATTTCCTTGGCGTTCCTCGTCTTTTCTTGGTCCGAGCAGACCAGTGTAGACAGGCGGCCGCCAACATTGGCGCTTCAGTGTGTTCATTGGCCCCAGGATTTTACGGAACTGCCAGGGAAGTGATTCCCTTGGCGTTCCTTGTATTTTGTTGGTCCGAGCCGACCGGGGTAGACAGGCGGCCACCAACATTGAAGTCTTAGTGGCGCTTCAGCGTGGTCATTGGCCCCGGGATTCTACGTAACTGCCAGGGAAGTGATTTCCTCGGCGTTCCTTGTATTGTCCTGGTCCGAGCCGACCAGGTTAGACAGGCGGCTGCCAAGATTTAAGGATTTTCGTGGCGATTCATTGTATTCACTGGCTCCAGGATTCCACGGAACTGCCGGGGAGTGGTTTCGGGCAAGTGGCGTCACAAGGGGGGGGACCGCGCCTGGGTGCAGCGCTCAGGGGGGGTGTCGCGACGGGATGCGGGGGGGAGGGGGGGGGGGGGGGGGGGGGGGAGTTCGCGGCGGGCCACGGAGAGCGGAGAGCGGAGCTGGGGAGGGGGGGAGCGGCGGGTCACGCGGCCACGCACGAGCGGGGCGGGGGGGGGGGGGGGGGGGGGGGGGGAGGAGAGAGGAGGAGGAGGGGGGGTGTCGCGGCGGGCTACCACCGCGAGTGCCGCTGACCCTCGTGATGCCACTGGTTTCGGGTGTCGTTTATTTTTGCAAGATCAGCGCGCGAAGGAACGACGGGCAATTACCGTCGTTCATTATTTTTTGTCTGGAACTTGCTTGACATCGGACCCTGAAGTACTCGGTACGGCCACTTTTACTTACATCAACTTAAAATCCGTTCTTACGTTGCGCTTAAATTTGACTCTTACGCTATTATCACAAAGCCAGTGACATACAGCTTTGTACACGAGAATCTGCGCTTAGACCTTTGGCCAGGAACCGCTTCCTCCTTTTCAAGAATATTGCGCTTGCCGGCGTGACGCGATCGTCGGGCTTTATTGACATGGCCGTGCCGACAGTACATTGCAACCGCAAGCAGGGTCCGCAAAACAGCATCCCCCATGTCTGATTTTACAAAAACGCCAAAACCAAACTGTTGCACTGGATGTGTAAATTAGAAAAAAACAATAGAACACATTTCATCAAATTCCAGAGGCCGGTGTTTATTCCAGACCAAATTAACTAATCGCAAATCAGTCGGCGCTTCAAGAAAAAATATGTGAAAAACATGCTGTTCAACTAAATCTGCGTACATTGCAGCGGCGTTGAGCGCGCGTGTTCAATTTTCCGTTTGCTAAGACCCCGAGTTCTTTCCAGACTGAAAAGAATGACCGGGTGCTTCAGTCAAATTGATCGTCCCACTTTTAAATAAACAACAAATATCAGTTTCACATGCTACGTAATTGCATCCTGGTGGTGCGTTTTCTTCGCGAAAGCGAACTTGCCTCAGAAGCTTCAAGCAAGAAATGCTTTCTAAAACCGACATGTGCTAAGCCTTTAGTTTTTCAAATGAAACGCGACACGCAAAACTTCCGACACGAGAAAGGCTTAGATGTTGGCTGGTATTTCTAACTTCAAGAAGAGGCAAGACTGCTCTCGCTGCACCAACGTCAACGCTTAGTGCCGTAGCATGAGAAACTGATTTTTAGTATTTATTTAAAGCGGGAACGACCCATCTGACTCACCTACACCGCCAACACACGTGGAATGCGGTCCGCACGGACCGCACCACAAGTTACGAAAGCCTTGGCCACGCGTGGTGTAAAGCAAAAGCGTTGTATGTGCAAGTGGCGCTAGTGATCAAGTAGATAAAAAAGAAGTTTATTCCGCGGAAAATCACATTCACTGATGTAAGGAATCGAAACAAAGTAAGGGGTACCGCTAATGTAAATATTTATTTACATTTTTATTTTCATCTCAAAATTAAGCAAGCCGGATTTTAATCCGCGTTTGGATAGGTTCCACGTGGACTCATGCTTATCAGAATTTGTAAATACGAAATAGGCTTAGCGTAGGCAGTCAAAACATAGATGACATAGATCTACCCTGCCATCTATTACACTATCTACATACAAAACATAGATTACATCTATGTTTTGTATCATTTCTTTATTCTATGACTCTTCATTCTCTCTTTCACCATAAATACGAGCGAAGGTGAGCTCGTGACGTGTCAGCATCGAACTCGCATTGCTTTCGCTCGCACTGAGCGTGAAACGAAGTGTAGGACATGTGGGGCACGTTTTGGCGGTGCACGCGTCGACGTGTTCAGAACTAATTTGTTCTACGTCATCAAGGTTAGCGTAACTTCTGCAGGGCAAAAATTGCAAATTGGGTTATGGGGATATTTTTACAGCGTGTAGTTGGTCAGCCATTTAAAGTTGCGACGAGTCACTCGCGGTGGATGAGCAATTTAGCCGGTGCAGTACAACCACTAGCCTGGGGTCTTTAACGTGCACCACGCAGTAGTGATACACGACCGCACGCCGGTACGACGCTCATCCAGATCGAAACGGGCAGGGGTGGCGCTCGAACCCAGGATCCCTGGGTTCTGCAGCGCGAGCTTTCGCTCCACGCGCGTCGAGCTGGGTGTGCGCTTTAGCCCACTTCTGCAGGGCTCCAATTTCGTCAAAGCTGGGGTGAGCACGTGCAAATTAGAGGCAACGCAAAGCCTCGTGGGCGTGCTCTTGTAGTTAGTTTTCTGAATGCGCTGATCACGTGCGCTGAACCTGTAGCTATGGCTCCAGAGAAAAATTGGGGAGTGTGTATGTTTATACAGCCTAGAATTTGGTGTGCCTCAATGGCCGACGAGTCTCCCAGCTGTAGATGAAAAATTTAGCCAATGCAGTACAACTGATAGCGCAGGGTCTTTAACATGCATCACGCAGTAATGATACACGAAAGCGCGCCGGTAGGATGTTCATCCAGATTGAAACGGACAGGGGTGCGGAGTGAACCCGGGATCCCTGGGTTCTGTTGCGCGAGCTTTCACTCCGCGTGCTCCGAGCTGGTGTGCTGTAGCCCACTCGGCCGCCGATCCCGCTCCGGAGGGAAACAGGTCTTCTGTTTAGACACGCACAGCAAGTTAGCGAGGGGATTACACCGCTGTATGCACTGAAGCTGTAGCGATCTAGAAGGTCCACGAAAACAAACAAAAAAAAATACAGCCATACTCGTTGGCAGGTTGAAAGTAAACGCTGGGGAGGGGGTCGGCTCCTCCCGAGCGTTCGCTCTGCAAAAGTGGAAAGAGATGGAAGGAGCTGCTTCATCTCAAAACTGAAAGTTTTCAGATGAAGCAGCTTCTCCCTCCTTTGATTTGTGTGTATGTTGATAACGCAAAAAACGCAGTGCCTCTTATGCTCATTTAGCGACGCAGCCAGGAATATTTTCTAAGGTGGAGGGGGAGGGGGGGGGGGGGGACGCTTCTCCCGCCTCCCCTGTATTTACATCACTGGTGTATTGTCAGCTGTACATGATCTTGAATTTCTCAAATCAACCTGTTTTACTGAGCCACAAAACACGGCCTGTAATTCAAACCAAACCAAAAAAAAAAAAAAAACTTAAAAAATACGTACATTTTTTTAGCAAAAAAATAAAAACTTAAAACAGATATCCAGTGAATGATTAAGCAATTACATGTATTCACAAATAAGAAATCAAGTCGAATTAAGATATTGAACACCGTTTGTTTGAAGGACCAGATGGACATGAGTTGATGCAGATTCCAATCAGCAAACAAAGGTTATCAAGCAACGTATAACAGGAGAAGAAGCTGGGAAATTATGTCTGCTCGCATTCGATTGACTTCAAAGTTCGTATAGAGTAAGATAACTGCAGTAATGTCAACCGTAGTGACACCGGCCCCAGAAATATGGACTGAGATAGAGTGGGGTCGAAACCGAAACTATTAAGTCGTATTTCCATCCTTGGCTGCCTTGGCTGGCTTGGCTTCGTGCCAATTCAAAGCCGCAAGCAACTTCTGGATCCTTGTTCGTTCCGGAGAGGACACAAAGGCCTTTCTTGGAGTGCGTCGGTCGATCCGAGTTTAGGTAAGTTTTGCCGATTTCGTATTCATAATGCATGCTAGAAGAATATCCAGATATGCTAGATCATCTTCGGAACAACGTAGCTCACGTTGCCACCGTAGTTCGGATGATTTTTCACTTTTTTCTACGATTTGAGTCGAAAAAAGTGAAATCGTCTTAGCACTGACCGGCGGCGGCGGCGCCGCCGCGGTGCCGCTATCTTGAGAATCCCGTGAGTGCTCTGCGACACCGGAGCACTGCAGAGACGCTGACTAGATTGTTTCTAAAATACGCGTTGCTATCAGTGAACTGTTCTGTGTTGTTAAACACTTGATTGCGTGTTGTCTCGTCCTTTTTCATGCTAGCGGCAGCGTTGAGTTGTGCCCAATGTTTTGAAACTCCCGGCCCGCGCGTTCTGGGTTTTCACGCCGCGTCCAGCGGGATGGCGCGGTTCGACTGGCGCTGGCATTTGGCGTATTGATAGGACACGCTCCTAACTGGGTGTCGTCGTTGTGCTCGTGTACGGCGTGTGCCTCGCGCCGGCGTGCGGTGCGTGGCGTTGGGTTTGAGGTGCTCGGGCCTTGAGTTTCTTATACTTGGGACACGCGGGCAACTCGAATGCCATTTACAACGAATGACATTTGAGCGGACTGCCAATCGGCGCGCGACACTCCGGGCGTGACGCATTCCACGCGCGACAGATAGCGAGCTGATTCGCCGATCACACAATTGTCATTCGTTGTAAATGGCATTCGAGTTGCCCGTGTCGCACGGGTATTAAAAGTGTTGACCGAGCCCTGTTAATCTCATCGTTCTTGTTGTTTTCTCCCTTGTTGCCTGTTTGTTATTTTGATCATCTTGCTCTGGTTGATTGGCTAGCAGACGATCGTGCGTACGGGCCCCTGCATATATGTCTAGCCTTGCGAGCCACCCAGGGTACTACTGTCGCTAATAATGATTATTATTGCTTGCCTTAGCGACGTTTTAATTTACCCCGGCTACATTCGTGACTTGTAGAACTCGTGGGTGCACAAGTAGTTTACATGGCTGAGGAAAGAGATTGAATGATTTGATTAAAATGCTCTGATCTGGTATAGAACGTTTAGTGGTACTGGGGAGACACATACAAAGCAAGGAGATCCAGCTTTGAATGTGATGGCTCCCTACTTACTACAACGTTTAAATACCTGAGGCCCTGGTAAAGTTGAAGGGAGTCTCTTAAAACATTTGTGGAAAGACCCAAAGCTGGATACAATTTTAGTCTAATGCTGGTCCACACTGTTGCAACCGACTAGGACTGATTTCGACAAAAGCAGTCTTTAAGCCTCTTGTGACGGCTTATGACCACGCCGTCCAGCAGTAATAATGGCAGTCGTAAGCGGCTTAAAACCCTGTTTTGTTCAACTCGGTCGTAGTCAGCTGCAACAGTGTGAACCAGCTCTAACGCCTCTTAGGCGCATGCGCAAACAGTAGCTTCAGGATAAACTTGCGCATTGCACTGCCCCAAAGGATATCGATCACATTCCCGGTGTTTATTTTTAATCTGTATCCCTGCACTGCAGAACATGTCAAGAGGCTTGTTGATTGCTGTGCATGTGCCTATCAAGCGAGCTGTGCTATTTTTAAGTGGTGTTCAATTTGTTTTTAGCTTCCTGGGATTTCTTAAGGTACCAGTAGGTATCTAAGCTCTACATGCACATTGTTCTTAACAGGCACTTCACCAGAATTTTTTTTTTTTTTTTTTTTGGGGGGGGGGGGGGGGGGGGGGGGAGGGCCCAGCAAAATGGACGATTTGGGGGGGGGGGGGGGATAGGGTAGGTATTAAAGAAAAGGTGAGGTAGGCTCCTACCCCCCCCCCCCCCCCCCCCCCTTCCGGCTGCGTGCCGGGTTCTTAATACAATTACGTCATGAAGAAGCTCATTTTCCTTGTTTGGTTGAGTTTAATGGTGCTGTCATCATGGTCTTTGCACTGTCGACAACAAGAGAAGCGTAATGTTGGCACTTTTTCTTTTGTTGATCTGTGAAGCAAGTTTTGGTTTCTTTTTTTGTTCCAGAATATCAGTCTGATTCTTATTCATGGTATTGCAGGAAGTCTGTATCATCAAGAAAAAACTGCAGGTGGCTGGAAGCTGCCGATCAGCTGCCAGTCTGGATAGTAGCCATCAACTCAGCAAAGGCCTGCAGGCGAATCAGCCCAACCTGTTTCTCTGCTGCCCTTCAAGACAGGATGCTTTGTGAAAAGTGAAACGGGGCCCATGCACCGCTTCCGCAGAGCCCTGCTAGTATTTATCTGACCTTTTGTTTTCCTAAACAAATAACACCATTACAAATTGTAATATACCGAGCAATTGCCCACTCTAAATTGGGGCTGACCATGGAGAGCTGGGGAATAGGGTAGGTAATAAAGCAAAGGTGTACATGGTCGGGTGGTCCCTTGGTCTGACCACGGAATTACAAACAGCTGCCATTTGCAAAGCTGGTTGACTGTGCAAACACGTAAAAACAAACCGTCTGTTTATTTTTTTTTTTTTTATTGCAAATTAACATCCTAAAGAATGGTTGCTTACGCATTTGCTTGTTCTTGTTATAAAGCCTTAAATTTATTCTTCCGAGTTAGAACAAAAAAGCAACCCATCTTTTTTTGGGCACAACTTTCTTTGGCAATGAAGAGAAAACTAGGGAGGGGGGAGGCAGGCAGTGCCAATGGCTCTGTGTTAGTGCACCAAATAGTTATCGTTTTTTGTTTTTTTTTTTTGTCTCGGTTTCAGTTAGGGTTTTGGCGTGTCAACCACGCAGTTGCTTCAGTGCATGTTTTTGTACGAGGATTGCGGTTGAGGGAGCTGAACCGCGATCGCCGAGCATGCAGGCATATTCAGATCTATTTCTGAAGGCTTCACCCGTTTTTAAGCGTAAGCCAACACTTTGGCTGAAGCACTCGGACAGACTTGCAAGGTAGATTTCACCGTGGTCAATCTCCTAGAATTTAATTTGTCTCTCAGCTGACGAAGATAGGCAGTGTCGAATCAGGAAAAGCTGCGAACTTCATGATAGTAGATAAGCGCCGGAAAAATACCTAGACAAAAATTTGACGTGAACACTGGCGTACCGGCAACTAACATTTATTAAAAACAAAATTTCTTATATAGTAAGTGGTAAGGATGCAGATTTGTGGTAATGAACTGTCCTCTCATGTTGATATCTTTTCAGATATATCGGTGTTTAGAAGGGAGCTAAATTTTTATCTTTAATTCGTTTAATTCTTTAATGTTAGTCTGTTCTTTTTTACAAGTGGAAGACATTGTGTTAAGTCATGTACTACCATTTTATGTGCCACCACACTATGACCTAGTGGTCGTTCTGGGGCATGATTCAAATAAAACATTATTATTATTATAGCTGTGCAAAACGTCAGTCATGACTACAACTGGTCAACCCTCTATCAAAAAATTAATTCTTTTGCCGATAAGGTTATGGATGTGTCACTTGTACACCTGGTGCCTTTGGCTTTAATCTTAAACGCCTGGTGTAGCTCTCTAGATTCTTTATCTGGGTATCTGGCCAAAAATTTGGTGTCTTTAAACGACTGGGAGCAAAAGCAGCGTCTGCAGTGTGTGGCCAGATGTCGTGATGGAGATCGCTTGTGTGGCCACCTCGCGTTCGCGGGCGCAATCATTAATACGTAGGCCTGTCTGACCTGTGTACACAGAACCATATGACATTGTGATTCCGTACACAACTTTGGTTGTGCATTCTGTGAATTTTTTGCAGTGTTTAGTTTTGCATTTGTCTTTTCCAAGGGCCGCTGCTGCAGCGACAACACACATCAGCTGCTGCCCTTGTTTCCCGTCATTTAATGACACCAAATTTTTGGCCAGGTACCCAGATAAAGTGTCTAGAAAAAGCTACACGAGGTGTTTGAGATTATAGCCGAAGGCACGAGTTGTACAAGTGACACATCCATAACCTTATCAGCAAAAGAATATGAATTTCTTGATAGAGGTCTACATTGGTTGTAATCATGATTGACATTTTTCACAGCAATGTAACAGATTTTTTTTTTTTTTTTTCAATAATGTTAGTTGCGAGTGCGCCAGTGGCAACTTCTTGACCCTGTCTATTTTTTGGCGCTTGTCAATGATCATGAACCACCTGACCCAAATTGCCACATGAACGAATTTCATGAGTGCTGCCGCGTTTTGAGGTCAGTTATCTGTAAACTCTTCTGGTGCTGACAAACTATTGCGCGGGAGGAATATACAGAAATAGAAGCACGCACACTCCACGACGCGAAGTCGCATTCCATTTGGATCGCATTCAGTTATGGCTGGCCCTAGGGGGTCGCTGGCACACCACAGCTCAGAATATGTGTAGCGAGGATTGCGCTGCAGAACCCAGGGGTCCCGAGCTCCGTCCCCACCCCTGCTCACACACACCAGTGAGCTTGCTAGCCAACCGGCATACGGAAACAACTAGGAGTCCCGGTTCCCACTGTCCCATTTGTCATACACGTTGCACACCACTTGCTTGGTTTGTTTTAAGATTTCTTGGTTGCCAAACTTCATAAAAATCTTACATGTCAAACAAAGGGGCGAGCTCACAGCGTGTGCCTGCAATAAACCACACTGATGACGCCCAAAGATGCGCATGATAAAGATGCCATCTTAATTTTGCAGGGAGCTAGAAAACCTAGGGTGAATTTAAACCAAGAAAACACAAAATAGCTAAAAAGAAAATGCTCTAGGTTTGGCACATCCTGGCTAATGTTATGCTAACATTCTAAAGTCAAAGCTAAACAGAACAATTTTACATATATTTTAATTGGTTACGTTCCACCCATCAAATTATTATGGTTGAACTATATTCAGCTATGCAGTGAAATGGTGTCCTTTGGCTCTCTAGCTTTAGCTCCATTGCCACGGAACGTTGTCCCCAAGTATATCACTTTCTAGCTCTTTTCGACTGCAGCCATCCTATTCCTTTCCTGCTTTGCTGTTCTACTCGTTCTATCCCCATTCTGTCTGCCAGTCGTGGAGATAAACGCCCATGGCGACAGGGTGCCTGATGTCTCTTTCATGTACTTTTTTAACTTGCTTAAAATAGAGGAATAGGCATTAATATGTCCTTAGATGAGTTGATATGTTTCAAAAGTAGGGGTTGAGCGCTTACTCTGCCGCGGGTGCATGCTCGGTGTTTTTTGGTAGTTTTATGGTGTTGTGCGTTACTAGAATAAGTTGGGCTTCAGTATAGTTACCGCATATGTGTACAGTAATTCACGCAGTTGTTAATGGCCGTTAGTACCTAACTCAACCCTGTTCAGGCTGTCTATGAGCTGAAAATTGGTATTGTTGAGAAATTCGGCAATCGGAAAAGTCTCAAGATTTCCAGCCTAATCAGTATCGATCAGGGATATTCAGCCTTCCTTTGTCTGAATGTCAGCAAAAGACACGTGTGGTGTGGCACATGCACCTTCCTCCTACTCAGCAACTCGGCCGGCCTGCCAACGTAAATCTTTGCTGGAAACTAGAGTCTTGGTAGAATCCAGAGATGCAACTTCATCTCGAAATGTATTTACAAGGCAAACTTCTATACTCTCAACGAACTGCTGCTGCTTATGGCAGATTTGTGGAATGGCTTCGTAGTGCGAGAGTTTGTCTCTATAGATACCCTAGTTGCTCCTGAATAAACTTCTAGGAGATCTTTTCCGGGCTGTGAACATCATGACAGTTGAGGTAGTTTCTGCTGGAAAAGGGAGGGGGGCAGAGAGGGTATCCCTCAGCTTGACAGTCCATAGAAGCTTTGTCAGCCAGGATTTTAAATGTTGTGAGGACAATGACAGCTGTGTTAGCTCATATATTTTTTGCCAGAAGTTGTACAACTAACTGCCAGGATTGCAACATCCAACAGCATGACATGCCAGCTCCTGTGGTGTCATTTAATTTTGTCGCTTAGAGCCCACTTTTGGTACATGGGTTATATAGAACACTAAACGAACCAGTTGGAGGCGCATTCCAGGCACCATAACATAGCCTGTGCTGCTGAGATGTTCTTATTGCAGGTATAATTTCCGATTCTGTTTTTTTTTGTTTTTCAGTGGGAGCTCATGGAGGTGGCACGGTGCATGGAAGGACAGAGTGGCTGACAGTGAGCTGCCCAAGCAAGCTGCTGGCTCTTGTGACCGTCTCCGAAAGCCTCTGGATGGGCTAAATTGCAGACGTGACTGGACATTTATAAATGGTAAACACAATCTAGACTACCTTTGAATTATGCCTTGGTCTAACGGATGTAGCTTGGATGTCGTGTTTGGCTGCTAGAATGGAACTGGATAGTGTTAAGCGGCACATGTCACCAAGTAAGCACACGCTGGGACGCTTATCCAGAAACTCGGCTTCCCAGTCCACGAGCCACCAAAGACCCAGCCAAAGGGATCCCGAGTCATCCATGATTTCATGTTTCATACGTATATGATGGTTTTACTGCAACAGCTCATACTATTTGGCATTCTAAACTTTCCCATCACTAAGAATACATTTTTGTGGTGCCATCCGTGTTGGTTTTCAAAAGCTCTGATATCTGGGCCTTGTTCTGTTAGTTTCCATGCGAACTGTGAATCGCTTGCCAGGGATGCTTTTGCCACTGCAGGCCAATTTCCTTGGCAAGGCATTTAACTATTTCTGGTTTCATACTTGGCTTCAATTGATTGTTGAACCATTGACTTTCTCTTTCGACGCTGGCACTGCCACCACAATAGTCCCATCACATACACTGGCACTACTGCTTGTTACAAAAGGTACAGCCGTTTGCATCTATCTATCCATCCCTTAGATGGTTTTTTCTCCTATGCCATGGTGGCCCTTAAGGGGGGACATGGGTCTTTGGAGCCAAAAACTTCCTAAAACTGCATTCTTTTGAAAATGGCAATGGCTGTTGTTCTTCTGAATCTACCAGGCTTATAATTTCGTGGATGAATATTTAGCTATAAATCAGTTTATAATATCTATGTGGGCTGAATGCGCATTGAAGTTGACTCTAAAACATTGTTTTCACAAAACACAATTTTTTGACTCGTTAAAAATTTGCAGGAGGGATATCTTAGCATCTAGAGCAGATAGAAATATAACCGTTCCTGAAATGTGTAGTTGAATGTGTGAAGCATACAATGTTGAGAGCAGATTTTTTTAATACAAGTCTAGAAAATTTTCTAGTTGATCTTTTGCTTTATTACTTGTTAACCATGCATTGAGCAATGAACTTCAATATGTGGTAAAATCACTAATAATGAGTTTATCTTAAAAGTGCTTCCAACATTGTATTTTCTACACTTCGTAGTACCTAGCCATGTGTTAAAAAGAATATTTTGCTGAGCAGTTTTTTTTCTATTGTTTTTCTAAACAAACACAGGCAAGTTTTAATTATTTTGAAGACAATTCTACTGACTGAGAAAATGACCAGGTATATGAAATCAGCACAAAAAGCTGAACAAGCCTGTGCAGTTTCATTGGGTTTGGTCATAAAATAAGAAAAAAAGCCCCAAGACCAGTGTTTACCCTTAAGTTAATGTAGCTATCCACTTGCAGTGAAGTTCTTCACATCAAGTTAAAAGGAATCTTTCACATTCTTTTAGAAGATTCTTCACTTCAAGAGTAAAAGGAGTTTTTCACATGCCTTTAGAAGATTAGTCCCAATATAGGAATGTTGCTTGCCCCGACATCTCTAAACCACCTCTGTAGTGGTTTCTCGATGTCTTAACATGCCATGCGTCAGAATGTGTTTTGTCGCGCTTTTATGTCACACCGTTTCTTGAGTAGTTTACAAAGATCTTGTGGGCTCCAGTGACACAAAACTTTTTGTCTCCTTCTCCACATGCCTTATTATTTCAAGTTTTGTTGCAAATGTCAACTTTGCCCTCTAGACATTCACAGTCATAACAACTCTCACAGAATTCAGTGGTTATTGTACTCTTTTTACTGGTTTCCTTTTTGAGCAAAATGTGCGAGTGCCAAAAGCACAATCTCGGAGGAAGGGATCAAGAAGAAAGAAGGTGGAACCCGCGCACGGTGTGGTTGTGGTGGAACGCTAAGCAAGGCATCGGCGCTATGGCCGGTGGAACGGCAAGCAAGGCTCCGTGGGTTTGGGTGGTCAAACCTTGAGCAAGGCTTCGTCAAGACTGTTGGTGGGCCCCGAGCAACTCTTAGACAATGTGCCTGTGCTTGTGAGTGAGCACTGTGTGGCGCTGTAAGCACCCAAGCCACCACCGACATCTTGGGACCATGATTGGACTCTCCTCCTCCTCCAAATGTATGGCATCTTTGATTTGGCTTCTGTTCCTTTTGTTATGCTTTCAAAGCTTTTGTGTTTTTCCTTCTGCGGTTATGAAGAGTGGAACGCTTGCAAGATATGTTCTATTCCTTTATTTATTCCTTTTTTTCTTACGACTGTGTGTGCGTCCTGTGCACCTTTTCTTTACTTTTGAATTTTTTTACTATTAAATAGTGTTCCGTAACGCCAGGCTCGACTCACTCTCAATTCCTACCGCCTCTCAGGAAGTCCATCGCCCAGGTGTGGCCTTAGCACCTGGACAGCGGTCCAATTCAAATTACAAGTTTGTTTTTATGGGATCTTTTCCAACCGAACCTGTGACTAACTTGTGACAGGTTCAAGTCCTGTAGTGGATGCCAGTTTGTCACAGGTTCGGTTGGAAAAGATGCCATAAACAAACCAACTTGTAATCTGAATTGGACCGCTGTCCAGGTGCTAGGGCCACACCTAGGTGATGGACTTCCTTAGAGGCGGTAGGAATTGAGAGTGACTTGTACCTGGCATTTCGAAACACTATTTATTAGTAATGAAATTCAAAATTAAAGAAAAGGTGCACAGGACGCACAAACGGTCGTAAAAAAATGAAAATAATAAAGGAAAAGAACATATCTTGCAAGCCTTCTGCTCTTCGTAACAGGGGCAAGAAAATCACAAAAGCTTTGAAAGCGTAACAAAGAGGGAACAGAAGCCAAATCAAAGACGCTATACATTTCGTATGAGGAAAGTCGAATCATGGTCCCAAGATGTCGGTGGTGGTCCCAGTCCCTTGCGGCATCAGTCGGAGTCGAGAACTTGTGGTGGCTTGGGTGCTTATAGTGCCGAACAGCGCTCGCTCACAAGCACATGCACATCGTCGAAGTTTTCTCAGGGCCCACCAACCATCTTGACAAAGCCTTGTTCGGGGTTCGACCTCCCACACCACTGAAGCCTTGCTTGTTTTTCCAACCACTGAAGCCTAGCTCTAGGCAGCTTCCGCCTTCCTTCTTTTTTTCTTTTTCTTCTCTTCCGAGCTCGTGTTTTCGGCACTTGTGCATCTTACTCAAAACGGAATCCAACGAAGAAAAAAATCTTTCAATTCTGTGACAGCAACATGTAGGCCTATTTGTTGGTTGATTCTAATGTCAAATATCCATGATTGTCCACATTGGATATCATTTGCCTGCGGTGTGTTCTGCAGCCACAAACATCTGCCATGCCACCGTTACGCATTAGTGTTCAGTGGAGAAACCTGCTACGTGGCTTCAGAGCATGCAGTCATTAATTTCAACACTAGGGAATATGACAGTGATGTCTCATGCAAATGGACACCTCCGTTCCTACCCAAAAGCGTCCATAATGTGAGCTGTGCATAATAACAGGACTAAATGCAGTTATTTACCCGGTTGGTCCCCGAAAACGTTTTTTATATAGCAGAGTATCCATATTATTGAGACATGCCCGAGTCCTACTAGAGCGACAAAGAGAAACACCTGACACTGATATGCCTCAAGACTGGATAATACGCCAAAAAACACAGACGAAATGAAGGAAGATCTTGGCAGGACACGTCTTAACTTTTATCTGAATAGTTTACTTTGGTAAAAATATATATCTACTGATAGGAAGTAACACATGCTGTGTGAACACTGTAAACCTGATTCGCATGGTGTGATTTTACTTGCGAGTTTGCTGTTCTGACGTCACTCATGCAGCGAAATATAGGCATGGGGGAAGCTGCAGTGCCTGACGTCACAGGTGTAAATTTGCAAGCGAAATTGCGCCATGTGAAGTGGGCTGATGCGTCGTATGAACGCACTCCCCCAGAAACGAGCATCATTGGCTCTGCAGACCGTGGAATTCTTTGTCATGTATTAGTAATGAGGGTGGGCTCACATGAGTTGTTATTCTAGGATTTCATCAAGAAGGCATTGTGAATTTTCCTCTTTGCTTTTGTCTTGTAGCAGCCCATGCCATTAGTCTTTTTCTAAGTTGGACTTGCACTCACAATGGACACAGTGAATTGCTAGGTGACCTTCTGGATAAATACCAGGGTAACAACTCTTGTCTGAGGTGCACCCTTAGTGTCATTGTCTGACAGAATTTCACTCTCTGTGGAACTAGTGGCACCGGTTTCTGAGGAAGTGCATTTTGACCTTACAGTGTTCTGCCAGCAGATGTCAGTTTTTATCTGTATAGATGCTTTTAGGGAGTCAGTTACTCGAGCTGCTACCAGTCGGCGCGCTTAACGGGCTGCCATAGCTGACCTTCATTTTGTCGCCGTTGCTTCGCATTGTGTGCTGCACCGGTCACCACCAGAGCTTTGTTTTCGTGTTCTTTTACGTTCCGCGTTGAAGTCGAGTGTTTTCTTTAGGTCTTTTTGGTATTTCAGGCTTTCATTTATTCATTTGATACCTATGTTTCAATATAGATGTATTTTCTTATTTATAGAATGGAATCGGACAGTGAATGGATCACGATACAAGATCATGGCCTAGGCTTCAGAGAACATGTAAGTTCATCACATTCTTTTGTTTTTGTCGCTAATAAAGGGCAGTCAACACCATTGCGACATATGAAAATATCAACTGACGCAGTGAGGCCATCTCCAGATGCCCGTCGTTGGTTTGGCACGCAAAACCCCCAAATTTTCGGCAGTGAGGCATCGCAGTCGTGCTTCTCGGTGCATGTGCGCGCTTTTAGACATTGTTTCCAAAGATAAAAGCCGGACCGCATGTAAGCGCTTTAGCAAGCAAGACGAGAGACAACAACGAGGCAGCAACGAAAGTTTCTCACTGCCACCCATCGCGGCGCTCGGCTTTTGGATTTCTAGAAA